AACTATTGAAACTTGTACTCCATGCAGTCGGACTATCTCTTTGAGATATAATTCAACATACTTCTCCATTGAAAAATACGTTCATATAGGAATGAAATGCGCAGTCTTTGTGAGATGATCCATAATTACCCAAATTGAATCCTTTTTATTTGGGGACAATGGCAATCCTGTTACAAAATCCATCGTAACTCTTTCCTATTTCCACTGAGGAAATGAGATCGGTTGCAATAATCCGGAAGGTACTTGATGTTCATCTTTTACTTGTTGACAAATCAGACACTTTACAACAAACTCTGATATTTCTTTTTTCATGCCTGGCCACCAGAAACGCCCTCTAAGATCTTGATACCTCTTACTCTCTCTGGGATGCATGGTCAATGGATTACAATGAGCTTCTAACAATATTTCCTTCTTCAACTCTTCATCATTTGGAATACAAACTTTATCTCTATAATATAAATATCCATCCAACTTTACTTCAAAACCCTTAATTTCACCTTTATTCACTTGCTCAATCTTTGCCAAACACTTATCATATTTCGTTTGAAATTCCTTAATTTGATCCAAAAGTAAAGGTTTTAACTTCAACTCAGCTATCAGAGCACCATTTTTCTTCAATGCGAGTCGGGCATCTAACACACGTAGAGCTGTAAAAGTCTTTCGGCTAAGAGCATCTACTACCACGTTAGCTTTTCTGGAATAATAATCTATTATCGCATCGTAGTCTTTAAGTAGCTCGATCCACCTTCTTTGTCTTAAGTTAAGTTATTTTTGAGTTAGCAGTTACTTCAAACTTTTGTAATATGTGTAAATGTAGCAATGCTCACCATATAAATAGTGGCGCCAAATCTTCAGTGCAAATACCACAACTGCTAACTCAAGATCATGTGTCAGTTAGTTTTTCTCATGAGGTTTAAGTTGTCTCGAAGCATAGGCGACTACTTTTTCATCTTGCATTAATACATACCCTAGACCATTATGGGAAGCATCGCTAAAAATCGTAAAATCCTTATTCAATTCTGGTTACACTAACACTGGAGCCTCCGTCAAAATTTTCTTTAATTCCTCAAAACTATTTTGACAATCAGGGGTCCAAGAAAAAGACAAATAATTTCTTAACAACTTGGTCAAAGAAAAAGATATCATCTAGAAGTTCTTAATGAACCTCCGATAATAACATGCAAGACCTAGGAAACTCTGAACTTCTGACACATTCTTCAGAATTTCCCAATCTAAAAAAGCTTTTACCTTAAGAAGATCCACCTGAATCCCCTATTCAAAAACCACATGTCCGAGAAACATTATTTCTAATAGCCAAAACTCACATTTAGACAATTTAGCATAAAGGCTCTTATCTCGCAGTGTTTGAAGAATCACCCGCAAATGAGCGTCATGCTTCTCATTTATCTTCGAATACTCCAAGATATCGTTAATGATGACGACTACGAACTGATTAAGACAAGGCTGAAACATTATATTTATGAGGTTTATAAATACAGCAGGTGCATTCGTTAACCCAAATGGCATAACTACAAATTCATAATGACCATGCCGCGTCCTAAAAGCTATCATTGCAATGTCCTTCTCTTGAATCTTCAATTGGTGATAACCAGAACACAAATCAATATTGGAAAATACTGAAGCTCCCTTTAGATGATAAAACAAATCGTCGATTCTTGGGAGAGGATACTTATTCTTTATGGTAACTTATTGAGTTGTCGATAGTCAATACAGAGACATATATATCCAGATTTCTTCTTCACAAATAGAACTAGCGCACCCCAAGGTGAAACACTGGGTCTGATGAATCATTTATCTAAAAGCTCTTGCAACTGATTCTTTAACTCTCTTAGTTCTTTTAGAGCCATTCTGTAAGGGGCCATTGAAATTGGTGTTGATCTTGGCAAAAGCTCAATTTGAAATTCTATCTCCCTATCAGGAGGTAATCTTGGTAATTCCTCAAGAAATACTTCTGGAAACTCTCGGATAGTCAGAATATCTTCCAATCTTCTTCCCATAGCTCGAGTATCAATCAGATTAGTGATGAAAGCTTGACATCCTTGTAACATGTAGCATCCTCAATACCGGGTTAGTGATTAAATTGCAAAATTTCAGAATTTGGTTATAAAAGTAGAATAATTGAATAGTTCAATAATTTATATGGAGATTTCCTAAAAGTTGTTAGTAATTATTCAAGGAATTAAAGGGTAAAATGGTCAATTGACAAGAAAGATATTTTTCCCTATATATGAATGAATCACGTGGGGAAGGGGGAAGTTATCTTCTTCTTCTTCTCCATCATGAACAAGAGAGAAAAGGTAAGATTTCTTAATTTTTGATTATTAGCTGAATTTTAAGTTGGGTTTTGATCATTAGATGATAACTAAGCTTAAGGAAAGCTTAAGTTATCCTAAAATCAAAAGATAAAGGAGTTAGGGAAGATTAAAGATTTGGAGTTTTTAAGTAAAATCTTGAAATAGAGTTGATAAGTTGAATTTGAAGTTAAATTTGACTTGTCATCAACTTAATTAAGAAATATGAAGTGATAGAATTGAATTTAAAGTATATTGAAAATTGGGTATGATTATTGATTTTTATATGGATAATAGGATTTTGAGGTTTGAGATGTGATAAATGATTAGAAATTGGTTTAATTATGTATATTTGAATTAAGAATATGAAAGGGAATGAAACATGAAGAATTTAAGTTGATATAGTGAATTTTCGTGCATGAACAGTGATTTTCTAGGCAGGTGCATCGATGCACTATGAGTGTGTACCGATGTACTAAGACAATTTTTTAATGTGCATCGATGCATTAAGGGGTGCATCGATGCGTGGGAGTTTGAAGCTATTTTGTGTACCGATGCACTCATAGTGCATCGGTACACCCCTAAAGGAAAAATGAAATTTTGGTTCATTAAACTAGCTTGAGTTATTAACATTAAGTTATAAGGTTTAGGCTTTTGATAATCATCTAGAAAATTATATTTATGTAGATATCGAGCCTAAATGAGTTACGGAACAATCGAAGAGTTAGGATTGAATCAAAGGCGAGTGCAATTTAATTTGTACTTATATTATTGAATAAACATTGGCTTGCGATGAGCTAGTGACGGAGTTACTATGGTAAGAAGTAACTCCTTAAATGTCATTTGAATTTTGATTGATATGATGCTTATGTGTGTATGATTACATGACTAAAGGAAAATATATGATATAAGTTATCTGGTATGGATACACGAAATATATGTAAGTATGTACATGAATATATGTATAAGTTTATATGCTATGTGATACATGTTATATGATATGAAACAAATGTTTACACATACATATGGTATGTGATAGAAGAAAAGAAATATGTGATTATAAGATCAATGATTACACGTACATGTGATACGTGACAGAAAAGAAGAGATATGTATTTATAAGAGAAATGATATAAACAAGTGATATGAATATGTAAATTGCCATAAATGATAATGCCCATGTCATTGATATGAGTTATGAGAACTGTAGGTATAGTTGGCATGCCAAGAGTCGAGGGTTTACCTATGTTCTACGGAACATATGGACAGAATTACCTATGTCTTTCGAGACAAATGGACAATATACCTATGTTCTAAGGAACATATGGACTGTTTACCTAGGTTCTTCGGGACCTATGGACAGTTGTCGAGGTTCTTTATGACCTCTGGATAGGTCCTTCGGGACATTTATACGAGCTGTGGTGACAGTATAGTGGTGCACAACCTCAATGTACTTACATACCTTAAGTTCTCCCTGGTATACATGGGCTAATAAAGAGATTAAACAAATATATTGAATTTGATTTGTTATATGGAATAAATTACAGGATTCATGTATTAGTGTATTATTTGGTTATCTAAAATGATATATAATGTGTATAAATAGTAAGTATATGATTATACGATAAAAAGGTATTAATGACAATAATAGGATCATGATAAGAAGAAGATAATCATATATGTATATGTGTGAATTTGATATATGAATAGAAATATGCTGGAGTATAATAGTAGTAATTGTTCATGCATGATTATAAGTTAGAATTTTTATTATATGTTTTATATGCCTCACTAAGTCAACGACTTAGCGTGTGATTGTTTCACGCGTAGGTTCTGAGAAGAAGAAGATTGATAGAAGTTATGCAAGACAGGTCAATTCCTTCTTTCCAAAGATCAGATCAGAAAAGAAATGTATAGTATATAGTTTGTAATAAGAAAAGTGGTTGGCATGTAAATAAAAGATTAAATATGATATGTTATAATCGGTTTTAAAAAGTCATACGATTGAGTTTTGTAATGTTTTAAACGTGTTTATGTAAATGACAATTGTATAGTAATGAACAGTTAAATTTTTACGAGTTTTATGAACATTTTACGAAAGCCACTGTAGCAATGCATCGATGCATTGTAGCACTGTTCATGGCACTGTTCATTGTACTATTCATACCGTAATTCACTGTTCATAAATACTTTTATCTAAAAATTTTATACCAAACAAAATTGAACAATATATAATCGTATTTTCTTAATATAAGTTCAAATGTTTATTTATTTTACAAAAATAAAAGGTTTTGAAATGTCAATGTGACATCTTGGACTCGTATCCCTGTCGGGTACGGGTTGGGGTGTTACATAACATTAACTTCTTAGTTGACATCACCGATATCACATTATCTAATAGATTGAGTCTCTCGCTGAGTACACTAACTTTCGATCCATCGAGATTTTTCAACAAAACTTGCTTTAATCAACAATCAACATTGGCGTGATAATTATACAACCAATTCATTCCTAAGATAACCTCAAACTCATCAAAAGGTAATTATATTAGATTGCAGGGAATTCAATTCCCTAAATCCTTATAGGACACCCTCGACAAATTTATTTCACCCGAGCACTATGCCCTAATAGGTTAGTCACAATCACCTCACTACTAATAGATTCTAACTGAATTCTTAAATCTTTCACCAATTTCTTACTAACATAAGAGTAATTCGGTCCTGAATCAATCAAAACTAAAATAGGTTTACCAACTAACTAAAAAGTACCTACGATGATTTTAGGATCTTCACAATCTTCACTGGTCTTAAGGTTGTACACTCGAGCAGTAGAGCACACTTCAGGTTGAGTGGTCGAATCAGACTGATTTCTTTCTTGACCTCATTCTCTACCTCTTAGAGGTGCAACAGCGGATCTTACTATTTGGGAAAGCTCTCCGATAATCACTGGGCAGTCCCGAATAAAATATTATGCCTCACCACACTTAAAACAAGCTCCTGAGACTCTCCGACATATACCACTATGATGTTTTCCACAATACTGACATTGATTTGACTTTTCCACTTCTGATTCCACTAATTGAGTGTTTCTGGCTCTTCCAGAACTGAATCCTCTACCTGAGGATGCAGCTGACTTCGATCTAGTCTGAGGTCGAAAACTCGAACCTCGACTTTTCTTCGATTATGATGCACTTGACGAGGCACCAGCTCTCTTATTCTATTGAGTATTTTTCTCCCTAAATCTCTCATTTTGATCTTGCTCCAAGGCTTTGTCTCGATTCACTGCCTCTTGAAATGAAGAAAGATTTTGTGCTAACAGCAACTCTATCAATCGAGGGCGTAAACCCTCCACAAACCAATCACAAGAGCCTTTTTCCGTAGGGACCAACTCTACTACAAATCTGCTCAACTTGTTGAACTCGCACTCGTACTCATACACAGTGTGATTCCCTTACTTCAAACTCATAAATTCTTGATTGATTTGACGGATGAATTGATCCCCGATGTATTTATTCTTAAACTCTTCTAGAAAGAACGACCATGTCACCTGGTCCCTTGTAGCTCGCATCGTCACATTCCTCCACCATATTCTGGCTTGACCTCTTAGTAATGAAACTACCCCATCCAGCTTCTCCATTTCAGAACAATGGAGACTATCTAGCATAATCTTAATGTCATTAAGCCATAGATCAGCAGCAACGGGACCTTACTCAGCTTCTCCTTTAAATTTGGTGATCCCAAACTTCTAAGCTCCTTAGCCACATTTATCTTAGAAGTTGAGGCAGCAGAAAGTTGGAAACCCGTCAGAATCGTGTCCAACATCTGGAAAAAGGTTCCCTGGTCTTGTACAGGCATTCCCTACGGCGTATGTTCCTCACCTTGCCTACTTGGGGCAGGTGAGTTACTGCTACCTTCATTCTTATCTCCCACTTCACTTCGGGAGCCCTGAAAGTCTAACATCTAATAAGATCAAATCACTATTTGTTTAGTAAGGACATCATACTAATTACCTTATCAGATCAGAGAGACTTAACTCTTAGTTGGCATGTACACTTTTTAAAACCAAAAATGACTTCATTTCAAACTTAAAATCAATTAAACCATAGCTATGATTCCATTAAATGTAACACCCCTAACTCGTACCCGACCTGGATACAAGTCTGAGGTGTCACATTGACTTTTCAAATCATTGACTATTAAAATGTAGGGAAAAATTTAAACTTTTATTGGTATTAAAATGGTGGAACCCTTGAATTAAAGTAAATAATAAAAACTCACATCCATATTTAAATAAACACTTATTAATTTACATAAATACAAAAAGTATAAGTTCACAAAATAGATCAGGGCATTTCAATTTACAACGTATAGTACATGCCAACAATATTACCAAAATAAAGAACCTACATTCAAATAAATCTGATTTGACCCTCCTCAAGAGTATGCTATCCTCTTCTAGCTTTAATCTTATGCTTTCTTCGAACCTACGTGTGAAACAATAACACGCTAAGTCGTCGACTTAGTGAGGCAAGTACGAGTCAAATAAAACTTTGTAAACTGAAATTTTTATTCATTTCATAGAAACATTTCATAAGGAATTCAAATTTCTTTTCATAACAAGAATGTATCATTTTATACATTGTCCGGTTTATATGACTTTGTTTTCAAATGCCCAATGTATATTACTGAGAACTCTAGGTATTTGAGTACATTGAGGTTGTGCACTAATTCTGTCACTGCAGCTCACATAATTTACATAAAAATGCCACATATTTGTCCCGAAATACCACATAGGTTTGTCTCGAATGATAACTTAGAACCCTTGACTTTTGGCATGCCAACTATACCTCTAATTCTCATAATATACCTTGGGCTTTTTAACCACATAATTATTTATCATTTCATTATTCAGAGTGTATCTTGTTCACATAGGCACTTTCACATCCAACATTTTCGTATAAGCATTTTCACATATCACATTTTCATATTCATATACATATAAGTATCAAAACAAAACTCAGGGAATATGACTTGAATAAAACATTATAAAAAAATGTAACATAAAAGAAATTAAAAGGTTTTCGATCGAAAACTCTGACGTTGGTTTATCGCAAGCCGCCCTCTAATCTAATATAAAACAAATGAGTTGCACTCACCTTTGCCTCACTGAAGTCCCAACAAAATTCTTATCACTCTTGATCTATAACCTATAAAGTCGAATCGTCTAGAATTTGTACTCGTTCAATGTCTACATAATAATACAATCGAAATGAATGTTGAAGGTCATATTGTTTATAACCAATCATAATAACTTACGCTGAAAGAAATACCTAATTCACCACTTCAAGCGCATTAGTATCGATACCCTTCCTACAGTATCGATACTTCCCTTCTATGGTATCGATAAACACTTCGATATCGATACCATTTTGGCATTCTGGAATTTCATACTTGATAATGGTATCAATACCTCACTCTTGGTATCGATAAACCCATTTTAGTATCGATACCTTCTACAATCAGTACCGATATTGATCCTTGAATTCAACTAGTTTTGCCTTGAAGTATCGGTAATGTTCTTCCAATATCGATACCCTTGCCCAAAATTTACATATTTCACTTCGAAAATTAACCAAAACTTACCCAAATCTCCACTTTTATCACCATTCATGCCTTTTAACTCAACTACACTTATCAAAACCAACTTTTATCACTTCAACACTCCTAAATATCCAAAAATCCTACCAAAACACTTGGGACTAAAAATCATACCATATTTTCAATCATGTTTTAAATCACTTCTAATCCTTTTAAGTCCTTAATTAGACCATTGATAAGTCGAATTTATCAATTGAGATCCAAAAACTAAACCATAACAAATATTCTCTTAAAAACCCATTTTACATATTCATCTTTTAGTTTTAATCCACCTAAAGCTTTCCTTAAGCTTATATATCACCTAAGTCTTCAAAACCAACCCAAAATTTGAAGAAACAGCCAGCTTGAAATCACTTACCATTACAAATGAAGGTTCACGACAAGAGAAATAAGAAGAGAAAATAACCCACGTTCTAGACTTTTCATTTTCCCTTGATTTCTTACTGCGTGTGTTTATATCTCTCAAAAGGGGAATATAAAATTCCTTTCCTTCAAAAAGACCTTAATGCCCCTCCAATATCTCATCTTTGATAACAAGTCCTTATCAAAATTTCTAAAATTAGTCATTGAACTTTTCAGTTTATTCAACTTAAACCATTAAATTTTAATTTCTTATATTTTGGTCACTAACCTGATGTTTAGGGTGTTACAATGGGATGGCACCATGATGTGGATTTCCCATTATGGTGTTAAATCATTACACATTACTGTAGTTGGGATGTCCACTTGATAAGCTTGTTGAGCTAGCCCATAGTGGAAGCATAATGACATACTATGAACAACACACACTTCAACAAATTTTGCATACATCTCCGTATCGACATCTGAATAATGATTTTGAGAATCAACCATCATTGCAACATTATCATCATTCGATAGTTCAAATGTTGTATAAGTTAACGGAAACACTAATGTTGGAAATATGTATTGAAGTGAAGACAGTCTTATAGTACTTCCAACATGAACCTTTTTTGAAATCTTCGTTATCAGCTCTTCAAGAGTTTTGTTTCTCTTGAAGAGTATTTTGACAATATGATTTGATACGAACACGATGTCAGTTTTATCTTCCCGAATTTCTCCATCATAATAAACAATAGCTGAAATACGTGTCATTCTGAGAGTTTGAAAGATTGAGAGTCATATTTATGCAAAAAAAACAATAGTTGAAATACGATTAATTAAATAAATAGTATATGAATTCAAATATAACCTAATAAAAAAATTTAAAAATATTAACAATAATTTAAATAATATAATTTTATATTGTTACCGTATCGGTAAAATGTCTCGACGTATGATCCTACTTTCTAATTTTACAACCGTAAAAAAGTAATAGAAAAGAATTAGTACAATATATTTTATTTTCCAAATAATCATATATAAAATAAATATAATATATTAAAAAATTACCTTACAATAAAAGATCGAACGAATTGGTGAAGCAAATATAGGAGGAACTAGTGAAACAAATATAAGAGGAAATGATGTTGTGATGTTTACGGTTGAAGGAGATGTTACTTATAGTCGAGGAGAGAGCTTAAAGATCGAGAAATTTTGAACCAATAATGAAATGGCATGGATGGTGATCTGCACCTTTCTGCAAAGGGTGCTATGTTGAAAAAAATTTGATGTTTCGATATAACAAATGAATTTTAAGATTTTGCAAATGATTTTCTAAGTATATTCGATATAATTATTCGAATATAAAAATATTACTCCAAGTCTTTCAAAGTTCATTTTAATCCTTACTAAAGTGTAAAATTGTGTTTTATACTTAAACTATTTTAAAACAATTTTACAAAGTATTTCGAGCCTTAATCGAGCCAAAAATATTTTCTTTTTAAAGGGTTTCAAGAAAACTCAGATTGTCCAGGGGGTACAGATTCCCCCCCAGGGGGAACAGATTCCCCCCCCAGGGGGAACAAATTCCCCCTGTCTAACGGTCAAAAACAGATTGTAATTAGGGAACCGATTCCCCATGAGGGGGTACCGATTCACCCCACGCTCCAAGCTATTTTATTAATTATTTCTCATCCCCAAACGGCTCTAAAACATCCCCAACGACTATATACGACTTCAAACACATTCCAAGCTATAAATACAAACTAAGGACACTTGAAGAAGTAAGAGAACAACTATCCAAGCAATCAAACACAAGAGAAGAGTTTTTCATTCTTATTTCGTCTTTCTCTTGTAAATATTTTGTTCTTATGAGCTTAATTCTTGTAAACACCTACCTTAGAGAGGTTTTATTGTTTACATCTTTTATCCTTTTGTAAAGGGGAAAGGTTCTAGTTTAGCTCGTGTAAAAGCTAGGGAAAGGTTCTAGTTTAGCCCGGAAAAACTAGGGAGTTTGTAAGGTTACTCTTTATCCTCAAAAGAAAGAACAAATTAGTGAATTTGTTGGAAAATCCTTGGTGAGGAGCTAAAGTAGTGGATGTAGACTTTGGTTGAGAAAATCGAACCACTATAAATCTCTGTGCAATTCTCTATCTTTCAATCTCCTTACTCCTTAAACACAAAACCGTTCCGACCCCTCTTTGCAAACCGTTCCGGTTGTCGATTCGAGCTTCCGAAAATCCCAACAATTGGCATCAGAGCCTAACTCATTAAGAAGGTTTAACCACATTGAGATGATCCTAGAAGAAGCTCTACCAATTCCCTACACAACCGAGAAGATGGCTTCCACCTCCGGCTCATTCCACATGGAAGACTCCATACCAACCGAAAAACCTCCATACTTCAATGGAGTCAACTATCATCATTGGAAGAAATTAATGAAGGTATTCATCCAATCCAATGATCTTGATGTATGGGAGATAATCGATAATGCTCCAAAGAAGAAGGAGAAGAAGCGGAGTGACAAAGAACGGAAGAAAGCTCAACTTAATGCCAAGGCCATGCACATGTTGTTTTGTGCATTTGGTCCTGAAATATATGAAGGGGGTTCTTCATGTTCAAGTTCCAAGGAGCTTTGGAATAAGCTTGAGGAAATCCATGGAAACAAGAAAGAAGAACCAACAAAGGTGGTGTCTCTAATGGCTTATGAAGAGCCCGAGGTATCTTTTAACTCAAATGAATTTAATTCATATACGTTTGATGAGTTACAAGATGCTTTTAATAGGTTATATTCGGAGTTTGAGACCATGAACTCCAAATATAAGAAAATGATTTCAAAATTTAAAATTGAAAACGATTTTCTTTTGAAAACAAAAATAGATTTTGAAAGCCAAAATGAAATTTTGAAAAAGGATTTAGAG